GCATGTGGGGAAAATTTGCTCCGGTGATTTGCCCTGAGCGGTTTAGAGGTGACAAATGTGCGTTTTTGAAAGTGTGGTATGATTTCACTTTCATCCTTCCTGGTAAGTAAATGGGTATTTTTCAATGTCTTCACTGACAATTGGGTAAAGCGAGTATCGGCCTCAAAATGCATGAATGTTTTTTTTATCAGTGCTGAAAACTTTGCTGAAACAATGTTATGGAATCTGGTCATAATTTGGCTGTGTTTTGGCGGGCCTGAGAAATTACCAGTTTCTTGCCAACATTTAAAATGTGTTTTTGCTTAGACTATCCTTGAACACGGAAGTGAGCACACTGGTTTTAAAGACTTGTTCATTTTTCCTGTAATACCTGGCTATATTTCTGTATAATTTTAATGTTTAGTCTCAATCAGACATAATGTTCCATATTCCTTGTGGTTACTAACAGAATGATTTAACCTACTATTTAATAATATAAAGCTTCTTCATGAGCCAGGACTTTAACTTCAGTTTTTCTGACTGGTAAAAAGGATGTGATCCATTTGCAGAGTGTTACATGGTGGCTTAAATCCTGCCAGTCAAAGTAGTTTTATGTGAATTTTATGATGCTTATGGTTATTTCCGATTTTTCCGATTTATATGCTGATTATTGTATGAGCAATTTCATAGATTATATCCTGCCCTTTTGTTAAATGTACAACTTCATGGTTGCAATGGCAAATTTAAACAGTGGTTTGTGATGTTATGCACCCAATTATGACCTCCAGTCCTGTGTCCCCGTAGCAGGAAGAGAAGCCCATCTGATCACTTATTTGCAAAATGGCAACTGCTGTATTTACTCACATTCTAGTCTGCCCAACTGCAATGGCAGAGGATGTGATTGGAGGATTTTAGTGGTTGATAGACTTGACCATGTGGGTGTTTTGCTCCCCACATACATGATGGATATCTGTGCACGCAGTTTGATGCTGTAAGAGCTACACCCCAGTGCTGCTCCCCCATTGAAATGGTTCGATCCAGGATGGTGTTTTCATCCAACAATTTTCCTTGTTGCATGGGTTGATTTTTAATTGCTGTCTCACATATTCTAGATGTGTGACGTTGCCTTATGTCTGCTATGCTGAGTTGTGTACTGAAGGTAAAGGTACAGTATGTTATGTAGTAATACAGATATACAGCTGTCTGGTGAGTTGAGCAGGCAGCATCCTAAAGGTAACTCATTTTGAACATATGGATGTTTGTGCCTTCGCCCACGGCCGCTCGTCTGGTGCAGGTGTGGTGTTTACCTTCTTTGTGGGGAGATGGGTTCATTGTGTGATGGCAGGCTCCTCTCCTTTACAGCCAAACAGGCAAAAAGTTGATGGCGAAATGCCGGATGCTCATTCAGGAGAACCAGGAGCTGGGCAGGCAGCTCTCACAGGGCCGCATTGCCCAGCTGGAGGCCGAACTCGCCCTGCAGAAGAAGTACAGCGAGGAGCTGAAGAGCAGTCAGGACGGTGAGTGGCGCCTCTGCTCCCAGTGCCACGAGTCTTTATCCACAAGCCGTGAGCTTGTTGGGTGACCACTCCACTCTCCCATCACTTCTCTCCCCAGAGCTGAACGACTTCATCATCCAGCTGGACGAGGAGGTGGAGGGCATGCAGAGCACCATCCTGGTCTTGCAGCAGCAGCTCAAGGAGACGCGTCAGCAGCTGTCCCAGCAGGGCCAGGTGTCGTCGTGCTACACCCCCGGCCCATCTGACGTGCCGGCCAAAGACTGCGGGAGAGTGGCCAATGGACCCGCGGGCGGCAGTCCCCCACTCTACGGGGAGGTCAGCAGCATCGAAGATGACTCGCCAGCCTCACCGGGTGGCCAGGCCAAGCTGACCAACCACTCTGAGGAGCAGCCGGGGCAGGGGGCCGGCTATATGAACCAGCTGAGTGGAGGCTACGAGAGCGTGGACTCGCCCACGGGGAGCGACGCGTCTCTCACGCAACACTCGAACGACACAGACTCCACTACCGACCCCCAGGAGGATAAGGCGGCCGGTGGCAAGGTTAGAACTGGGGGTTCCCGCCATGCCCAGAATGGCCTGGACTCCAGCGCGAGCTCACACAGCACGGTTTTGTAACATTCTTTACACATCAGCTTTTTATATCCAACAAATAGTGTCATTAAACGTTTTGGCTGAGGATACTGTCCACAGTTGCTGGGACTCATCTTTTTTTTTTTTTTTTTCCTTTGTATTTTTTCTTCGCTTCTCGTGGTATCTCTGCCGCAGTTGAAACTTTTAATTACGTTGCTAAATGAGAACAGTAAAAGCAGTGGATTAATGTAGATTTGAGGGTTTTTTTTTTTTTTAAACCGTTTAACTGAACACTTCAGTGCTTTGAAAGCGTTTGAACATGCCTGGTTCAGTGCAGCCCTTGTGTACTAAGAATCCTGATTAGAACTTTTTTTTTTTTTTTTTGCATCTAGCAATTTCAGCTATGGCCAACAAAATGATGACACCACAGGTTCTGTCTAGTTATTTTAAATAGCATTGCCAATGTTCAGGGTGTCCTTAGTTTCTTGGTGTTAAACTTCATTTTTATTTTGTTCCCATTCTAGGCAGACCTCTGTTTGACTTGTGTGTAGTTCTGCATATACCATGTGAAATTCCTATTATTCTGATTCAGCCCTTTTCATGTACTGACCAAATATCAATAAAAAATTTTAATAATATGGCTCTCTAATTTCTCCCCATATTTGTTTCACATGCAGCGGGGCTATTCGCCTGGCATGTACATTTGATTCCGATAGTCCCGGTTGTTGAGTTGTCCACGTCCTGTCGGTGTCAGCTAAACTGGCCATATTTAAAAGTAAGTTCGATGCAGCAACCTTACTCACGCAGAAGGATGGTCCCCTTGGTTACGGTGCTCTGGAAGCTGCAGATTCGAAACCATTTTCTGCTCTCATGTCTGTTATGCAGCTCGATGTTTCTTACTGTACTCACAACAATATGAGCAACAGGTTTATAATCAACACGTACACCGTGTAAAATGGGCGAGCTTTAGAAAGAACGGACTTTCAATGTAGTCGTGATGTTAAGATGTGTTCTAACTTATTTTTGTAATGCCATGTTTTTTTTTCCTATCAGACTTCATACACAATTCAAATTGTAATGGGATCTGTTTAATGTCAAAGCCTGAACCATAGCTTAGTAGCTGTGTAGTACATTGGTGTTACAGGGTTTGGGAATAAACAACTGAAAGTATGTCTGTGTGTGACGTCATTATTGCATTTAAGCAGGCTTGCACGTGAATTCTGTGGGCATGCATAACTCAATAAAAGTATTCGCAAGTGGCAGGCTTTGTTAGTATTAATTGTATTTCTTGATGTCTGATTGTTGGACTGACATGTATGTGAATAACTTTTCCAGAGGAAACGTGCTTAATTTCCCTCATTACTATCATGCACTCTGAAGGTGAAACATAAGCCGCAGATGTCCATATGATTATGCACAACAATTAAATTTGTGTTTTTGTTGCCTTAAACTGTGGAGTTACCCAAAAATTACACATATATTTCTTTTATTGTTTTTCTTAACCAATTGTGCCGCAGAAAAGAAAAAATTTACTGGAATTATGCAAACTATGTGCCTTGTTCAAGGTCACGACACGGCCTGGTCTTAATGCTTAAGGGTCAGGCTATTGTGCATATTTAGAAGACGTATTAATATTCATACATTTTGTATTTCTACGCAAGTGGTTTCGTTATGAATTTACTGAAATTCTTAGACTTTACATGAGCCTTCTTTGGTACAAGCATTTGGGAAAATTTATTCAGCCGACTTAGCCCCGAGTAGCGTAGGGAAAATTGCTTAAGGTTGCTCTCCTCAGCCGCTTAATGCTACACTGTACTCACATGGCTTCCCTGAGTAGGAGGTGGCGGTGTTACGTTTAGCTTAACAAACTAATAACGTTTCTACTCAAAGCGGGCGGCATCGTGGATTTCAATGAATAATTAATAGAATAAAGTAAAGATTTTCTGATGAATAGTATAATATATGTTGAGAAGTACCGCATTTCTCTCTCCCCGACTACACCGCGAATATACGTGGATAAGTCCGAGAGATTGAAATATCTGTCTGCCTTAAAACTAGAACATACTCGTGCATCAGGGAGTTTCGCGGAGTGCACTTCCTAAAGGAAGGAAGTCTGATGTTCTGATATTTATGCGGACTATTAGATGTGGAATCGATCATATTGTATGTTGACGTTGTTTCCAGTAGATAGGAGACGTTTAGATGGGAGACGTTTAGGTCTATGGGAATCGACAAACACGAATCTTGTTTTTAAATTAAAGGTACACAAACTGGATCATTTTAATTTTTAGCTATGATTGTATCTACACTGAATGACAGATTATTTGGCTAAATTACGTATATATTAGGAAGAATATTTTGTATCCAGCGGTAATTATACATAAGTAGCTCCCGAAATACGTAAGATGCTGCCAATGAGGTGGCGTGATGTTGCGCATGCGTATATAAGATCTCTTCGTGAGGATATGCCTTTCTTGGTTGCAGTTGATTTTTAACTTCCGTATATTTACATTTTACTATAAATTGCATTTTGCGATCTGAATGCTCAATAGAATTGCAAACGTTTGCCTTGTTGTAAGTTTAAACAAACAAGGAGGACCATTCACTTTCTAAGTTACGGCCTCCCCAAAACGCTGAATACCCCCACGGAGGGAAAGTTGTGTATCTCTTGGGAAATACGCCGATCTACAGCTACATGCAAATAAGCCCGGGTCACCACACTATGGTTAGGTGGCACGTTGGTCTGTGAGATATTCAGATATACAGGTTTCTGCTGCTGTGCAAGGTTCCCTCAAACGCCAAGGAGAATCAAGGAGAATGAACGCCGATTCAGTTGTTATCGTTTCTGCGGCAAGGACCCCAATTGGTAAAACAGAATTTCCTTCATTTTCTGCATTAAATGTTTTGCAAAGGAATTTGGGTTTTAAATATATTTCGGTAACTGATTTGGTATTTTACGAATGTTATAAATTACATTTTATAAGGGTACTTGAACGTGTCACGTATAATAATGTGAGGTTCTTGCCGATTTTCCTAAATATTGAATAGCAATTACGATCACACTACTGGAGTGTAGAAAAACAGCTATAAATGATAAGAAACAACTTGATTTAAATCCGATTTACTTCAAAGGTATACTTTATTAACACTATGACGTGACAGCTGGTAAATTAGCTGCCAAGAAGATATGTAAACAGTATAGACTTATCTCATCGCTCTATTGTTGCTTTTTAATTCTGTTAGGACGCTAGGCTCTTCCTTGATCGCTGTTCAGGGATAGGACTTATTGGTTGCCCCAGACCCAGTCCAGACGTCTGAGGTTGTGATTGGCTGGTAACCCGTCGTAGGACGATAGGTCGATGATATCCTATTGGCTGCAGAAGGGGAATGACAGTAAAGTTCCTCCCCGATTAAACCAATAACCGTTTGTCATAGGAGTGTAGCTTCGGCTGACACTGACACGAGGGCAAGCGCTGTCGAAATCAACGTGATATACCGAAACGAGTCATTGTTTGTTTCGTTATACTATGACAGCATTGCAACATTAACATTTCTTATGTGTTTTGGAGGTGTCGTAATTTGTTAGTTGTTTTTACTGTGGTTAGGTATGTTGCACTTCAGCCATTATGGGAATTCCTTACGTTTTCTAAATGTGGACAGGGTCCTTCAACGGTGTTCTTTCGAGCGTACCTCTGTCGGACCTGGGTGCTGCTGTGATCAGGGAGGTCCTGCAACGAGCCTCGGTGAAACCCGATGACGTGTCCGAGGTCGTCATGGGACACGTTCTGACTGCAGGTGAACCTCAAACATGACCGGCACCATGATGACACAGTAATCAGAAGGGTCTGTTTGTCTCTGTGTTTATTAACTTGTGATAATTGGCAGAACACTATGATATAAGACACTTTTCACTTTCATATGGTTCAGGAACTCATTTAAATAATTTCAGTATTAATGATACCCAAGATGTAATCGGATCGGCACCAAAGTTTTAATAATACATAACCACAATCTCATTTTACAAATGGCACACTCAAAAATGTACAATTCCATATGTTTATTGAACAAATGATTTCAACAGACAAACACAACACCATCTTGAAAAATCGATAATTGAAGAAAGGTGTTCCAGACAGCATTGTACTTGCCCTGCCACATTAAAAAAAAACACACACGCGCACACACACACGCACGCGGGAGCACGCACACACAAACAAACAATGCTGGCTACCTGTACTTCACAACAGACATCTTAGTCCAATATGGTCTGATGAGATGAGATTTCAGAGGACCTCAATGGAAGACTTCTTACAAAAGGATTTCTATAGACCCGGGCTTCATCAGTCCACAGTCAGGCGGATAGTTTACAGGTAGAAGAAATTCAGCCCCTCGCCTTCTGACCGTGCAACAGCAGCGGATTGAAGGGTGACGGCTGTCTGCGGGTATTGCTTGCATTTGATACCTGTATTTATGTGTCAGCTTTAAGATAAACCCTGATCCGGAGTCGCAGGCTGGGGAGGTTACATGGAGTGAACCTCCACTCTTCCCAAAGAAACATCACTACCAGTCAGCCACCTGCACGTTCCACCGCACTGCTAGAATAACGTTCTATGGACATGTACAGGACATCTTTTGATTGTGCATTATTTTTACAGAAAATAAAATACAGAATAACCAAACCAATATGTCCCCCCCAGCTGTGAAGCATGAGGGAGGGGGTTTTATGTTGTGGGGCTGCTTCGCTCCCTCAGGGCCTAAAAGGCTTGGAATCACTGAGGCACCAATGAATACCCAAGCGGTACCAGGAAATTTTACGGCGGAATATCGCGGTATCTGTTATCTTAGCATAAAAGATGCTGTAAGAGAACAAATACTGTATCTTATAAGGGCTGAGTCTGAATTATCTCGGCTTGTGTGATTTTATGATATTTGTAATGGACAATAACAGACATGTCGAAGTCTAACGTGACTGGTGATTATTGCCTTCATCGGGCTACACACAAAGCACAATAAGGGAGATTTACATATTGGCTTTCAGTTCAGCCTTCTATATTAGGTATTTAAAGGAAAAAAAATCTTTTTTAAACAGAATGTTTAAAGTTTGTTTTAAATTCATTTAAATGCATGGCATGTTGGTAAATCATAATTAGATCTGGATTCTGCTGATCAGTCAATTTCCACAGAGACTAATAAACAATGGGGGGGGGGGGTGATTCTATTATCTATCATTGATTCCAGTTTTTTAAAATTAAAATATTGCATATTATTCTTTAGATTGTCCAAAAAGGAGGCCTATCAGGCAACTCTTTCCAAAATATGTATGAACTGTAACAGTATTGTATAGACATGTACCAAAATACCTGCTCCATGTTCAGTGGGTCTCAGGTTATTACCAATTAATGTGGTTCCACTGCTTTCTACTGTAATTATAACGGTTCACATATTTCTGTTAGTGACCTTAATAGTTTCACTTGTCCGATAAAGATAATACAATGTAACATGTTGCAAACCAAATTTACGAATAAACCTGACCTGACCTATGAAATTAATCTTTATTGTTATCACTTTGATGAAGATAAGACCATATTTTAGGAGCCACTTATCTGGAAGCCCAGATAAAACCAAAGCAGGGATCTCCAGTTCCGGTCCTGGATGCCAGAATCCAACACAGTTTGCAGATTTTGCTGCTCAAACACACATTAATGAGCTAATTATCTGGTGTAGTAGGTATGTCTGAGCAAGGAAATACGCAAACTTTTCGCAACGTTTTTCTCACAACTGTGCGTAAAATGGCTTTTTCTCTTTCCATTGCCTTTCACTCCACATGGAATGTGTGGTTCCTGCAGGCTGTTTGGCCGTCAGAGTCGCTTTTGTTAGCGTGCGTTGCTGAACGCGCTCCCCCGTTTCTTGCCGGTTCTGTCCTCAGGCCTGGGCCAGAACCCAGCACGCCAGGCCAGCGTGGGGGCGGGCGTCCCATATGCCATCCCTGCCTGGAGCTGCCAGATGGTGTGTGGTTCGGGCCTCAAGGCCGTGTGGCTGGGAGCCCAGGCGATTCTCACTGGGGAGGCGACGGTGGTGGTGGCTGGGGGCATGGAGAGCATGAGCAGGGTAGGCCAGCGTCAAGCGCTGTTCGGTCTGAGCTCTACTGTACTGTATAGACTGCTAACGTAAACATTCAGCATTTTCCAAAGGGACTCCTGTATATACAAGCATCCTACAGGTCTCTGCCTGTACTGCCACTGAAAAAATAAGCATAGGGTCCAAGACTCTTGTCCTTTATTGTTAGTCCTATTGTCCCCCATGCACCTGTAACTCAGAACACATGCCAATAAAAAGACTAGTCTCACAGTGTAAAGGAGTGTTTTCTGTAAGTAGAGGAGAGGAATACCCCTTTTTTTTTCAGATTTGTTGAGACATAACCTCTGATGCTTAGAAATGTTTCAGGCTAAAATTAAGCCCTCGTGAACAATTGTGTTTTATTTAGCCAACAGTTTTATTCAAAAGGACATCAAGGTCATTCAATTTAGGATTAAGAGCCCAACATGAAACCACTCTGCCGTTTATGGGATTTGAACCAACAACCTTCTGATTATATGCATAGCATCCTAACTCTTAGTGCTGCACCCTATGATATACCCTGCCACTTCAAATCTACTACAGTAGTGGCAGCCCTTTGTGGACAGCTTACTCAAAGAGCAAGTTGAGGGAGGCGTAAAGACAATTTCCCCAAGGGATCAATAAAGTATCCATAGCAATTAGTAAGTTAGTCATGCCTTTATGTGACTGTTGAGTCCAGCTGTCTTTAAATCAGTGTTTGAGCTTCCAGATCCCAATATCAGCAGCTGTGTATTGTGATATCATTAATGGCCGAGTAGATAATGCCTCCCTTTGACCTGCAGGCCCCGCACTTAGTCCACATGCGAGCTGGAGTGAAAATGGGTGATGCCAACCTGCAGGACTCCATCGTCTCCGATGGGCTGACCGACGCGTTCCACAGCTGCCACATGGGGATCACAGGTCAGTCTCCCCACATGGCCTCTGGATGCTGTACGTTTTTGTTTACTGTGCTTATGTTCTTGCACGTGCTCCTGCCACAGCGGAGAATGTGGCCAAGCAGTGGGCTGTGACCCGTGAGGATCAGGACCAGTTCGCCATCTCCTCCCAGAATCGAACAGAGGCTGCCCAGAAGGCCGGGCATTTTGACCAGGAAATCGTACCGGTAACCGTTCCATCCAGAAAAGGTAAGGTTTGCTTGTCTGCTCCGACAACAGTGACTGACTTGAGCGCTTACAATGTGCGTGCTGCTGGCAAAGGTCATGAAGGTATGACTCTTTATGTAGGACCAGTTGAGGTGAAAATAGACGAATTTCCCCGGCATGGCAGCAACCTAGACGCCATGTCCAAACTGAAGCCATACTTCGTGAAGGATGGAACAGGGACTGTGACAGCTGGAAATGCATCAGGTCGGTCGACAGGACCTGCCAACATCTTTTGAGAGTGCAGTAGTTGCTGATGACATCATACTGACCTAAAGCAGTTACTAATGACATCATACCGACCTAAAACTGTCTGTTACCCACGGGTGTACTCATGCACCTATAACCCACAAAGCCCTGTTCCACCCCTCTCCCATGACGCTTTCTGCCGCTGTCTCACAGGGATCAATGATGGTGCTGCTGCAACGGTACTCATGTCTCTTTCTGAGGCCAACCGTAGGGGATTGAAGCCAATGGCCAAGATCATGTCCTGGGCTCAGGTCGGCCTCGACCCAGCGATTATGGGTACTGGTCCCATTGCTGCCATTAAGAAGGCGGTAAGGGAGGCTCTGAATCACACCCTCTACCGTCGCATTCTTTGTTTCATACATATTCAGTGATTGAATTTCTCTTTGCATGCCTGGTGAAAGCAGAGAAGGGGCTTTGTCTGTGTTCCAGGTTGAGAAGGCCGGATGGCAGCTGGATCAGGTGGACCTGTTTGAGATCAACGAAGCCTTTGCAGCACAGTCGGTCGCTGTAGTCCGGGAGCTTGGCCTAAGCCAGGACAAGGTAGTGCTGTCCAGCCATAATGTTCTTTCTGGATCCCATAGCAATAACTCTTCCTTGGACCTACACACAGACTGCATTCCCAGCATGGATCCCACGTATTTGTGCCAACCTAATCCCAGCTTGGAGAAGCTAACTTGCTCACTGGTTCCCTCTGCAGGTGAACATCAGTGGCGGTGCCATCTCACTGGGCCACCCCCTGGGCATGTCGGGGTGCCGCATCCTGGTGACGCTCCTGCACGCTCTGCAAAGGACTGGTGGCCGGAGGGGTGTGGCCGCACTCTGCGTGGGAGGGGGGATGGGCGTGGCCATGTGTGTGGAGAGAGCCTGAGGATACCCTGTTCCACTGCTAGACAGCTTAAGACATTCCGCCAGTCATTCGGTATCACAGTAGTTACCGAGTTAGTCTTCCGTAAATAGTGCCAAAAAAAACCACACGCACCTTATTACAGAAAGTTGTGGAATGTATAGGGAGGCTCTGAAGTCTAATGTGAAATAGTGTGAAAGAACTGGAATTGTTTACAGTATATCACAAGCCTGTGATGTAGTTACAGCAACCACCAGCTGTACAAATGGGGTTCAGTTAATACGATGAGAAATTACTAACTGCATGTAAAGATTAGCCAGATTGATGGTGGTTAGGAATAATTTGTTATATATATTCATACACACACACACGCACGCTATAATGCTTTCACTGTATTGCTGTGTACACCATTAGCAATAAAATGTCATGGACCTATGGTGAGTGCTGTAATGTTCAGATGGACACTTACCAGTGTGGGCAGGTTAATTTCCAGCTGCCTGTGGTACAAACCACATTAAATCACTGTCATTAGTCTGTTTACCCCATAAGATGTCCTACTTTGTGCTATTTTGTGACTGTATTGTATTCCTGATCTAAAAAAATTTAAGAAATCTACTCCAGTCTTTTGCAATGATAGCTAACGTCAGAGGGCTTTGTGTGAGGAGGGATCGCCACACAATGAATACCATCACGCTAAAGGAGTACTGATACCGCGTCCAACACAGTGCTCATGTACTCATACTTATCGCCGATGCCTATAACCGACACCACGTGATAATGTATCTGTGATATTAACAAGCAAAATAAATGGACCCATGAAATGTCTGGTGTAAAAGTGCTTTAAAATTAATAACAGAAAACAAAACAAAGACTTAACTGTGCTCTAAAAATATCAAGAGGTGGTACGAAAACAACTCCATGCAAGTAAACGTCTAAAAACTAAAATATTTCCACGAAAATTGCCACCATCAGCACTCAGCAACCCACCATACTGCAAATTAGCAGAGAGAGAGAAGAACAGCTCTTACCCAGTTTATATTGTTGGTACATGGTGCAAGTTGTATATGGGGTAAATTGTGTGAACCACTGCTATAGACCATTTGACAGTCCACAACATGATTTTAAATCAATTAATCCAGCCCCCCAATCCTTAATTTCCATAGACAAAAAACGATCAGCACTGCTTAAAAAAAACAAAACAATTTTGATGCATCCTATCCTGAAGGATTACAGCTCCCAAATTATTTTTATTGGGGAGGAAGTTTGCCATTATTGCCACTTGGCAATTTCTGATACCAGCTGAGAAACAAACACACAATGAATATAAAACAGGAAACACAGGCCATTGAGACCTATTTATTAAGTGTCCAACACAGTAAATCCATGTTTGAGAGCGGCTTGGTGCAAGTGCAAGGCCTACATCCTATATGACACAGAACAGGAAGCTATGTATAAATAGGGATCAGAAACCTCCAAAGTGCCGACAGCGAACAGCCTCTAGTCCTCCAGAGAACCGGACTGCACAGCATCCTGGTAGGATGGCCCACCTTCCTTCTGCTCTGGGAACAGCTTGATGAGGTCATCGATACGGAGAATGGTGATAGCTGCCTCAGTGGCAAACTTGAGGCTCTTGGTCTTGACCATGGTTGGCTCATAGACGCCCGCCTGCTTATTATCTCTGGGCTTGCCATTGACCAGGTCGAGACCGATCCTGTCCAAACCAAAAAATGGCAGCCATTACAAGAACTGAAACCCTCGTTTCCAGTGCACAACCTTCAATTTTAAATGAACAGAAAGTTAAAACCCATTAGCACATCTACAGAATTTGGAAAAAGGACTAATGTTGCTCTTAGAAAATGGAGAATCAGAGGTAAAGCATGCAGCAAATGTAGATTAATATCCCATCACTGACCATTTGAGGTTCTTGCGCTCGGGGTTGACTTGAGCTTCATTGTGGAAAGCTCTCAGCTTGGCGACCAAATCGGTGGAATCCTGCGCCGCATTCACTGCAAGGGTCTTTGGGATCACCAGCAGGGAACGGGCGAACTCTGCAATAGCCAGCTGCTCCCGTGATCCCTGCAGGTGCATAGCCAGGTCAGAAGAAGCCAAATGACATCCGCAACACGCAATACCATGCTACCCCCCAGTCATTACCATGCTACCCCCCAGTCATTACCATGCTACCCCCCAGTCATTACCATGCTTGTCGCGTAGTTTTCCAGGTAGATGGACAGGGCTGCCTCTACAGCGCCTCCTCCTGGCACCACAGACTTGGACTCCAGGACACGCTTGACCACGCAGAGCGCATCGTGTAGCGAGCGCTCCATCTCGTCACACATGAAGTCGTTGGCTCCACGTAGGATGATCGAGGCTGAAGTGCGGGCCTTGGTGCTGAGGGTATGAAGGAGGGACACAAACATGAGCCTCACTAGGCATCCTTGGGGGGGGGACATTACTGTCACATTACATTGCATATGGGGACATGACTCTCTCACTCCACTACATTTCAATTCTCTCAAACAGGGATCTGGAAGAAGAGCCTCACTTTTTGACGAGAATGAGCTCGTCGTCACACACTCTTTCCTGGACCACCTCCTCTGCCTGGCCGAGAAGAGATGCCTCAAACGTCTCCTCCCCCTCCAAGTTAGACAGGGACGAGCAGATAGTGGCTGAAACACAAATGGATTGGATAAACGCCATGAAACCCTTAAAGTTCTTCAGCATGCATCTGATTGGCAGGCATGTGTCTAATCACCTCCTGTTGCCTTGGCGATGCGCTTCAAATCTCTCTTCAGGACTCTGCGCACTGCCATGGCGCCAGCATCCACAAAGTACTTAAGACACATGTCATCAATGCCTTGAGTGGTAAGGATGACATTAGCCCCCACAGCCAGAATCTTCTGGATACGCTCCTTTGTGATATCCGACTCCCTGAAAGAACCCATTCAGAAATACCTTCACCACACTGATGCACAGCATAATGATCATGATACTCATTATATGCCAATAGAAAAAGGACCAGAAAATGGATTTAGAAACATTCAAGGTTAAATGATTTTGCCAGTATAATAATCAGCTGTCGAGCCCAAAATGATTCCCAAAATTGTGCATTTTGGTAAGAAAGACCTCAGGCTACGGTTGATATTCCCCACGCGTATAACTACTCACACTACAGGCCAGTGTGGCAGCAATGTAAATGGGAATGCAAATAGTGAGACTGATTACATGCACTGGCAGGGGGACCGTCCCCGTTATTGCTCACCTCTGCCGGATCTGATCGAGTTTCTCTGGGTCACTGATGACAACTTGGACGCCCAGTTTCATCTTTGTCTTCTGCAGGCTGAAGTCCAGACAGGCCACCTTGGCACTGGTCACACGCTTCACCATACCTGAGGGACGCATCGATGTTATTCTGGGGGCATGACGTCACTCATGCCCACACTGACCACCATTATGGGGCTGGACAACTGTGCTGGCACTAACCATAAAATCAAGACTACAGCAATCCCCTGCTAAGACACCTAGCATCACAAATACATAGGAAAACTTGCTGAATTAGTAGGTGAATGGCCCTTACATACATACATACAATATACCAATCAAACAGTGTAATATAAAACTGCTACTTTAGTATTACTATCTCACTATAGATGACTTCATACTGATATGCAAGGGATAGAATTGCCCACACGTCAGTATAGAGAGAAAAAAACTCTCCAGCAGAAATCCCTGCCGTAAAAGTGCAGATGTTGTAGATTAACATAAAAACACCCTCACAAAACAGCTGCATATATTCACAGCCATGCAAAGCTGGGTGGACTTTCGAAAAGCTTAAATGTACAGCAGTGTTTCCCAATGCGGACCCACAGACAGTCCACATTTTTGCTTGGGAGTGGGGAGGGACAAAAACGTGGACCGGCTGCGGGTCCCCGAGGACCGGACTGGGAAACCCTGATGTATAATATTAATTCCCCCCCATCAGGATATACACGTAAACACATTGTTCAGTCGCAGAGGATGTGAAGCAGCAACCTGCAGGCTGCCCCTCGCACTCTGGGCTGGCTGCTCTCTCCCACGCGTATAGCTCCCTGTGCCACCACACAAGCACAGCAGCAAACAGAATGGGAGAACCGCACCCCCGGCCCCGCCACCGAAGCCGGCCCCCACCTTGCGAGCCCACGGTACAGTTGAGGGCATAGCCATTGACCAGGAAGCTCTCCTTCTGGCTCCGGCCGTGGGCCTTCAGCACGTTCACGGAGTTGATGGGATAGCGGGCCACGCCCTTGCTGTCCACAAACTTCACCGCCATCGCCGCATCCACCACCATGTTTGCGAAGAAGTCTGCATCACTGGGAGTTCCTGTCAAGGTCCACCAGCAAACAACCACAAAGGGGCAACATTTCTGAGGGGGAGAAGAGACCCTTACTATAACATAGGTTACTGTTCTCTGTCTCCGAGTTCTAAATATATGTCAGTGCCCCCTTACATAAGAATAAAGTGCTGCGATGAAGCAAAATCTCCTTATTTACCCTTGCATAAAGCAATTTCCCTGCATGTCTAAATTGGTGTTGTTTTGTGGGGTGGTTAATTGTCTCCTGACAACGTCCCCCGTCTGAAATCACTAGGGAACCCTTAGTTAAAATCAAAACGAAGAAAGGCAAACTTAAGCATCATCATTAATAACGGAGCGCGATCCGCAGGTCGCGCGTGACAGGATACACGCCGATGATTTTAGACGACATGGAGGTTTTGGCGGCATTAACGAGGCACTCCCTGCCGAGGTCCTCCGTGCCGATGGTGAGGTTCTCATTGATGTAGCGCACGGCCTCCCTGCAGAGAGAGACACCGCAGGACTCAGCACCGAAATACCGGCACCCTTCACCGACCTCGGGGAAGCGCCTGTTTTGTCTTTTTATTATAACACTGCAAGCAGTGCACGGATACTGACTTGCAAGCCAGGCGATATCCACTGATGATAGACGTGGGGTGGATCTTCTGTTTCACCAGCTCGTCAGCACTCTTTAGCAGCTCAGCGGCAATGATCACCTACAAGGTGACCAGAGATATACGTTTTATTTACAATCATCAGCACTAAATCAAAACACCTAAAATTTGCTAAAATTCAGCTTCTACAGCCTATATGGGGCCGTCTAATTTAATTCAGCTGACCAGACCTAGACCACAGCGGCAGTTTATCCACAAGAGACCACGGGATGTGCTGTCACTACATATAGAAGAGGCAAGCAGTGCAGACCTCTCCTTCAGACAATGGCAGAGATGCTCTGTCCCATTTGCATAGCCAGTCATTCGTGGGAAACAGGAATGATTGGTACTAAAATGGGACCCAGGGTAGGCATTCACAAAGGCAGCTCGGATGGGAGGAGTCGGGAAGGCACTGGAAGGCTCACCACTGACGTGGTCCCATCGCCGACCTCCTTGTCCTGGAGGTCTGCCAGCTCACACAGAACCTTTGCGGCTGGGTGCTCAACCTCAAGCAGCTTCAGGATGGTGGCACCGTCGTTGGTGATGGTCACATCCTGCACACAGCACAACACTGTCACTGATACGCATTACCAGAGGTGGATAGTTCAGGTCCAGAAAGTAAAAATCCAGACCAAGATTTTGTTTCAACCAACCAAGTATAAAGAGTCACAGCCATAGAGTTCTCAACTAGTTGGTTGAATCACAATCTTGGACAGGATTTTTATTTTCTGGACCTGAAATGTCCACTTCTGCTCATCATACATCATTTGCACTCAGACTGACAAGTATATATGTTCTCTAGATTATCTTTGATCTAGTATCATTCAATAAGTATAAG